GCATTCACTATATCCGCTCTCCCCGGACCCCGCATTCATTATATCCGCTCTCCCCGGACCCCGCATTCACTATATCCGCTCTCCCCGGACCCCGCATTCACTATATCCGCTCTCCCCGGACCCCGCATTCACTATATCCGCTCTCCCCGGACCCCGCATTCACTATATCCGCTCTCCCACAGTACACACAACATGGAAATGCAATTATTTTGGTAAAATTAAACTGCAAATCCCTTTTCTTATCAGCAATATATAGCAGTCTTGTGACTTCTATCAGTGTCCAGCAGAGCACTGGTTAAAGCTTGTAGGAGGAGTTTTCATTCTCCGCTCATTGTCCTATGAGGCTGCATGACCCCTGACTCTCTGTCTGCTGATTGGCCCTGTGCTGATCACATGCACTCCCCCAAAAGGAAAAAAAAAAAAAGTCTTGTGTAGCTAGCTGTGCACTAAAATGAAAATTCTGATCAGGAGGACACAGTACAGGGGGTGTCAGGAGTACACGGTACAGGGGGGAACCAGGAGGGCACGGTACAGGGGGGGGTCAGGAGGGCACGGTACAGGGGGGAGTCAGGAGGGCACGGTACAGGGGGGAGTCAGGAGGGCACGGTACAGGGGGGAGTCAGGAGGGCACGGTACAGGGGGGAGTCAGGAGGGCACGGCACAGGGGGGAGTCAGGAGGGCACGGCACAGGGGGGAGTCAGGAGGGCACGGCACAGGGGGGAGTCAGGAGGGCACGGCACAGGGGGGAGTCAGGAGGGCACGGCACAGGGGGGAGTCAGGAGGGCACGGCACAGGGGGGAGTCAGGAGGGCACGGCACAGGGGGGAGTCAGGAGGGCACGGCACAGGGGGGAGTCAGGAGGGCACGGCACAGGGGGGAGTCAGGAGGGCACGGCACAGGGGGGAGTCAGGAGGGCACGGCACAGGGGGGAGTCAGGAGGGCACGGTACAGGGGGGAGTCAGGAGGGCACGGTACAGGGGGGAGTCAGGAGGGCACGGTACAGGGGGGAGTCAGGAGGGCACGGTACAGGGGGGAGTCAGGAGGGCACGGTACAGGGGGGAGTCAGGAGGGCACGGTACAGGGGGGAGTCAGGAGGGCACGGTACAGGGGGGAGTCAGGAGGGCACGGTACAGGGGGGAGTCAGGAGGGCATCAGGAGGGCACGGTACAGGGGGAGTCAGGAGGGTATCAGGAGGGCACAGCACAGGGGGGTGTCAGGAGGGCACAGCACAGGGGGGTGTCAGGAGGGCACAGCACAGGGGGGAGTCAGGAGGGCACAGCACAGGGGGGAGTCAGGAGGGCACAGCACAGGGGGGAGTCAGGAGGGCACAGCACAGGGGGGAGTCAGGAGGGCACAGCACAGGGGGGAGTCAGGAGGGCACAGCACAGGGGGGAGTCAGGAGGGCACAGCACAGGGGGGAGTCAGGAGGGCACAGCACAGGGGGGAGTCAGGAGGGCACAGCACAGGGGGGAGTCAGGAGGACACAGCACAGGGGGGAGTCAGGAGGACACAGCACAGGGGGGAGTCAGGAGGACACAGCACAGGGGGGAGTCAGGAGGACACAGCACAGGGGGGAGTCAGGAGGACACAGCACAGGGGGGAGTCAGGAGGACACAGCACAGGGGGGAGTCAGGAGGACACAGCACAGGGGGGAGTCAGGAGGACACAGCACAGGGGGGAGTCAGGAGGACACAGCACAGGGGGGAGTCAGGAGGACACAGCACAGGGGGGAGTCAGGAGGACACAGCACAGGGGGGAGTCAGGAGGACACAGCACAGGGGGGAGTCAGGAGGACACAGCACAGGGGGGAGTCAGGAGGACACAGCACAGGGGGGAGTCAGGAGGGCACAGTACAGGGGGGGATCAGGAGGGCACAGTACAGGGGGGGTCAGGAGGACACAGTACAGGGGGATCAGGAGGGCACAGTACAGGGGGATCAGGAGGGCACAGTACAGGGGGATCAGGAGGGCACAGTACAGGGGGATCAGGAGGGGCACGGTACAACGCAGTGGGGGGGGGGGGGGTATAAGGAGGGCACAGTACAACGCAGTGGGAAGGGGGGTATAAGGAGGGCACAGTACAGATTCTGGGACTCTGCCCGGGACATGGCCATTCCAGGACAGCTTGGTAAATAACATGATTGTCCTGACAAATCCAGGACAGTTGGCAAGTACAATGTAATGCAAGATTATCATGGGGCCCCCAATGCACCTAGGGCCCATGCATTAGGACAGCCCTGTCTGAGACCCGAGCACAGTCACATGGGGAGGTCACATTCACCCCATACCCAGAAGTCCTCCTCCATTACAGCAATGAAGTGAGAGCTCCAATGGGATGGGAAGGTGGTAAGGAAGCATAGATAGGTGAGTATACATGGTGGGGGGGGGGAGGGGAGGGGAGGGGGCCCATCAATATACAAAGTAACAATGTCTCCAACCAGACACCGAGAATTATATCCATCTGTAGAGGATTTCATTTTGTCTACACTGGAGTGCCCCTTTAAGAAGCAGTGGTCAGGGAAGGTCCAGAGCGGCGTCTGCCAGGAGCAGCACACACGGGCCCATTGTGCGGAGCGGCAGATGTTCGGTGAGGTCATGGTGCAGATCGGCCCCGGTAATGGACTAAGTGCCCGCAATACACAAGAGATTGCAGTGAGATCATGGAAGGAATACGAGTTCTGCCAACACACTCCATTAAAGTGACGACTTCCCGGGGAGCGGCTGTGATTGTAAACTAGAAAGTCAATTATCCAATGTGTCCCATTAACCCCACTGACACCAATGATGGGGCACTATTCCCCCCACTGACACCAATGATGGGGCACTATTCCTCCCACTGATACCAATGATGGGGCACTATTCCTCCCACTGACACCAATGATGGGGCACTATTCCCCCCACTGACACCAATGATGGGGCACTATTCCCCCCACTGACACCAATGATGGGGCACTATTCCTCCCACTGACACCAATGATGGGGCACTATTCCTCCCACTGACACCAATGATGGGGCACTATTCCTCCCACTGACACCAATGATGGGGCACTATTCCTCCCACTGACACCAATGATGGGGCACTATTCCCCCCACTGATACCAATGATGGGGCTATATTCCTCCCACTGACACCAATGATGGGGCACTATTCCTCCCACTGACACCAATGATGGGGCACTATTCCTGCCACTGACACCAATGATGGGGCACTATTCCCCCCACTGATACCAATGATGGGGCACTATTCCTCCCACTGACACCAATGATGGGGCACTATTCCTCCCACTGACACCAATGATGGGGCACTATTCCTCCCACTGACACCAATGATGGGGCACTATTCCTCCCACTGACACCAATGATGGGGCACTATTCCTCCCACTGACACCAATGATGGAGCACTATTCCTCCCACTGACACCAATGATGGGGCAGTATTCCTCCCACTGACCAATGATGGGGCACTATTCCTCCCACTGACACCAATGATGGGACGCTATTCCTCCCACTGACACCAATGATGGGGCACTATTCCTCCCACTGACACCAATGATGGGGCACTATTCCTCCCACTGACACCAATGATGGGGCACTATTCCTCCCACTGACACCAATGATGGGGCACTATTCCTCCCACTGACACCAATGATGGGGCACTATTCCTCCCACTGACACCAATGATGGGGCACAATTCCTCCCACTGACAACTGACAATTCCCATTTAAGGGATTATTTGAAGCCCCCCTCCAGGCAGATACGAAGTGGGGCGGAGCCTGCACTGCAAGGGTTAAATAGCTCACTTTGTCCAGGGAAGAGGAAAAAACATTACCTGATCCTCTGCTCCCCCCTGGCAGATGCCCCCCCCATGCTCCTGCTGTAGACTGTCCTGCTGTGTCATCATATCCAATGGAGGGATAAGGACCCTGCATTGGTCTTGATGAAGTCAGGACTTTGAACTGCTGGAAGGGGGTGTGGCCTGAAGCTGAACAGCTATAGTATATATATATATATTACCTGCCATGAAGTGTATTCCACAACCTGCCGATCGCTCCTTCCTATACAAATCGTCTCTCTCTGCAGTGATGACAGGTCCTCTTTGCAGCTCTGAACACTCTGGCCCTTTATAGGCCAATGGCCTTGGATCCAACACTGCCCTACACTAAAGAAGGTCCTGACAGCTGCCCGCCCCTTCCTGTCCTCTCCTCCATTCACAATACTCCTTGTATTGTTTTCAAACAAAGGCAACAGATTCTGTGAACGGGGGAGGGTATCCTGTCACTCATCCGACCCTCTCACCTGTTCAGAGAACGTTTTCCACATTCTGGGAAAACAAAACAAAGGCTTTTGTGAATAGATGAGGGGGGCGGGACCTTCGGTGTAGGGCAATGTTAGAGCCCCGGCAGGTGTCCAGCGCTGTAAGGAGGACCTGTCACCGCTGCAGTGACGATTTCTATAGAAAAGCGCAATCGGCGGGGTGAGAGAGTCCCGTAATGAATTGTAAGTTGTGGGGCTGAAGCTGTGATAATGGAACGGAACGTGCGGCAACGGAACGACCTGTTCCTGCGAAATACCGCGTATAGACGTGATGTGCCGCACAGCGAGGAACAGAATCTCTCACCGACCTGCATATTCCCAACACTCACCATCACAGACCCCCCCCCCCCCCCGGGGCTCCCTATGATCCCCGAACTTCTGACACTTCCACATCAGCAACAATGTAACACAATGAACACAAGAGGACCTTCATGGCGGGATCCCCAGATATTCCCCGGAGAGGGAATGACTTTTGTTGTGATCACCAGACGCTGAGCCGGCTAGAAAGGGGAACAAATCAAGTCGGCCGCCCCCCAACCTTCGATTTCCGCGCGGTTATTGTGCCGCCGATTCCGGTTTCAAGATCAAAACTGAACGAACATACTGAGAAAATATCAATACACCTTTTCCTTCACTTAAGCTCAAAAACCTCAACACGTGACTACAAAATAAAATAAATTAAAATAAAATATAAATTAAATAAAATAAATAACTCAAAAAATAAACAAAATTACAAAAATAAACAACCAGAGATTAATTCAAAATAAACAAACGTCCAAAATTAATATCCAAATGTAGATAAATAATAATCCTCCAAATATCTCAATCCAGTATATCCAACTTTCAATTCTCCATTCCGACCTCGCGATACCGCAAACAAATACGCTATAATAGTGTATGACCTTCAATATATCACACAATGTACAGAGAAGAATATACTAGATCAGCGCAAGATCAATAAATGTGCGCAAAAATATAGAATCAGATTCAACTGAGAGCGACACGTGAATGGTGCAAAAATCACTCTGTGTACACGCCAACAAAAAGTGACAAATACACTCAACAGCAACAAAAATAAATAAATATATATTAGAAACAGAAAATAAAAAAAAAATATATATATATATTTATTTATTATTATTATACAGGATTTATGGCGCCAACAGTGTGCTCAGCGCTGTACAATATAACCGGAGACAATACAGATCAATTCCAAAGGGATAGGAGGGACTGATCCTGGGAGTTTACAATCTAAGAGGGAGGGGAAAGTGGTACAGGAGGAAGTGGCTGTGGGGGATGGAGTGGTAGGAGGAGTGGAGGAAATCGGCTGTTAGGTGAGGGTGGGGTAGGCTTCCCTGGAGAGATGGGTTTTTAAGGTGCGCCTAAAGCTGAGGAGAGTAGGTGACAGTCTGATGGATTGGGGTAGGGAGTTCCAGAGGATGGGGGAAGTCCTGGAGAAGTCCTGCAGTTGGGCGTGGGAGGAGGAGACCAGGGAACTGGAGAGTAGGAGGTCTTGTGAGGAGCGAAGATTACGGGTTGGGTGGTATTTGGGTATCAGGTCGGTGAGGTAGTTTGGGGCGGAGTTATGAATAGCTTTGTATGTCAATGTTAGTAGTTTGAATTTAATGCGTTGGGCAATCGGGAGCCAGTGGAGGGAATACAGAGGGGGGTGGAGGACACTGAGTGGAGGCCAGTGGAGGGAATGACAGAGGGGGGTGGAGGACACTGAGTGGAGGCCAGTGGAGGGAATGACAGGGGGGGTGGAGGACACGGAGTGGAGGCCAGTGGAGGGATTGGCAGAGGGGGGTGGAGGACACTGAGTGGAGGCCAGTGGAGGGAATACAGAGGGGGGTGGAGGACACTGAGTGGAGGCCAGTGGAGGGAATACAGAGGGGGGTGGAGGACACTGAGTGGAGGCCAGTGGAGGGAATGACAGAGAGGGGTGGAGGACACTGAGTGGAGGCCAGTGGAGGGATTGGCAGAGGGGGGGAGGGAATGGAGGACACTGAGTGGAGGCCAGTGGAGGGAATACAGAGAGGGGTGGAGGACACTGAGTGGAGGCCAGTGGAGGGAATGACAGGGGGGGTGGAGGACACGGAGTGGAGGCCAGTGGAGGGATTGGCAGAGGGGGGTGGAGGACACTGAGTGGAGGCCAGTGGAGGGAATACAGAGGGGGTGGAGGACACTGAGTGGAGGCCAGTGGAGGGAATGACAGAGAGGGGTGGAGGACACTGAGTGGAGGCCAGTGGAGGGATTGGCAGAGGGGGGTGGAGGACACTGAGTGGAGGCCAGTGGAGGGAATACAGAGAGGGGTGGAGGACACTGAGTGGAGGCCAGTGGAGGGAATACAGAGAGGGGTGGAGGACACTGAGTGGAGGCCAGTGGAGGGAATGACAGAGGGGGGTGGAGGACACTGAGTGGAGGCCAGTGGAGGGATTGGCAGAGGGGGGTGGAGGACACTGAGTGGAGGCCAGTGGAGGGAATGACAGAGGGGGGTGGAGGCCAGTGGAGGGAATGACAGAGGGGGGTGGCAGATGCAGAGCGGTTGGTGAGGTGGATGAGTCTGGTCGCTGAGTTCAGGATAGACTGAAGCGGGGATAGTCTGTGATGAGGGAGGCCGGTGAGGAGGGAGTTGCAGTAGTCCAGACGTGAGATAATGAGGGGGTGAACGAGTAGTTCAGTAGTATCTGGGGTTAGGAACGAACGTATTTTGGAGATGTTGCGGAGGCGGAGCCTGCATGAGTTTGCCAGCAATTGGACATGGGGTTGGAAGGACAGGTTTGAGTCTAGAGTGACACCTAGGACTTTAGCTTGTGGGGTGGGACTGATGGTGGTGTTGTTGGTCGTGATGGAGAGGATGGGGGGGGGCACGGGCTGGGGGGAAAACTAGGAGCTCGGTTTTGGAAAGGTTTAATTTGAGGCAGTGGAGTGACATTCAGTCTGATATGTCGTTCATTAGGCTTGTGATTCGGGTGGAGACTGAAGGGGGTGAGGTGGGGGGGGGCAGAGACTGAGGGGGTGAGGTGGGGGGCGGAGACCGAGGGGGTGAGGTGGGGGGCGGAGACCGAGGGGGTGAGGTGGGGGGCGGAGACCGAGGGGGTGAGGTGGGGGGGTTGAGAGATAGATTTGTGTGTCGTCGGCATAGAGGTGATAGTTGAAGCCGTGAGAGTGTATGAGTTGGCCAAGGGAGGAGGTGTAGATGGAGAAGAGAAGGGGCCCGAGGACAGAGCCTTGAGGGACCCCAACAGAGAGGGGGAGGTGGTAGCGTTATAGGTATCATTGAAGGAGCGTTGTGATAGGTAGGAAGAGATCCAGGAGAGGGCGGAGTCTCTGAGGCCGAGGGAGTGCAGTTTGTTAAGGTGGAGGGGGTGGTGGACTGTGTGGAAGGCCGCAGAGAGGTCGAGGAGTAGGAGGACTGAGTAGTGGCCATTGGCTTTGGCGGTTAGCAGGTCATTAGTGATTTGAGGAGGGCGGTTTCGGTGGAGTGTAGGGGACGGAAGCCGGACTGTAGGGGGTCGAGGAGGTTGTTGTCGGTGAGGTGGGAGCACACGCGGGCGTAGACTAAGCGCTCGAGGAGTTTGGATGTAAATGGCAGCAGGGAGATGGGTCTGAGGTATATATATAAAATAAGAAAAAATAAAAAAAAGTGAGACAAATCAACCAATAAGGTGAACTCTGTGACCTCTAAATGGTGATATTGAATGCAATCCCCTCATGGAGTAATATGAAGCTTGGCGGGATGTTGTGATTATACAGCAGTCACTTCCAGGCCTTCATTCACTGTATATGTAGTAGTGACCAGGGGCGGACTGACCATTTGGAAACTCGGGCACTGCCCAAGGGCCTGGGGTCAGTAGGGGGCCCCATGAGATGCCCCTGGTACTTTTTTCATAGGCTTTTTTGAGTTTGGGCAAGGACACAGGGGCCCCATGATCCCCTATTGCCCGGGGGCCCCATGAGTTGTCAGTGCGCCCCTGGCAGTAACCTTCAATCCTCCATATTCCTCATAAAGGTAGACAGGAGACTGGAAAATGTTTTTGGATCGAACGATTTTCTAATCCTTTATAGGTCATTTGTTTGAAATGCGCAGACGCAGTAGGAGGAATATTGGAGATCAATCAGGAAAAAAACGATTGGAAAATTCTTGAAATTGACAGGAAAATTTCCGATACAATCATTCGGCCATTGAAGGTCAGAGTGGGAGGAGGTTTTGATTTTTGTAGAAATTGTCGTTTGTTTTCCTATCTGTGTATGGCCGGCATATGGGCTGAGTGAAGCAATACTTCAACAAGGGATGGTTCACCTTTACCAAAAAAAAAAAAAAAAAAAAATCGCCTATGCAGATAAGGGGGGGGGGGGGGGGGGGGGGTTCTGCAGATAGGGGGGAGAAGGGAGAGGGGAGGGGAAGGGGGGGGGCTCTGCAGATAAAAACAAACCGTACAGCTCTGACTAAAGCTGAATAAAGCTCTTGTAATGGGTGTCCGCCATTTATGTACCTCATGAAGCCTGACTGGAATACTCCCAGGACGTTGCTAGGACGTTGTTAAGGGAGACCTAGTCATTGCTGCTCACCCCCACCATCACAGGAGTGAGCTCCCAAGACACTGAGCTCAGAACGACTTCATCAGGGGAGAGAAAGAGCATGTGAGGGGGTCAGAATCAGAGAAAAAGCTCTCTCCTGTGATGGTAGGGGTGAGCAGTAAATGACTACGCCTCACTTAGCAACGTCCTAGCAACGTCCTGCTATTCCAGTCAGGCTTCATGAGGTACAGAAATGGCCGACATTTATAGCAAGGACAACGTTCGGCTCCATTCAGAGCCGCAGTTTGTTTTCCCGCAGACGCCCCTTACCTGCAGAGGCCGTTCTCTGAGAGATACAAAACCTTTCACATGACTGTATTGGGAACAATGTAACCATATGACCGGCAGAAGATCGATACGTTGTTACATAGCAGAAGATCGATACGTTGTTACATAGCAGAAGATCGATACGTTGTTACATAGCAGAAGATCGATACGTTGTTACATAGCAGAAGATCGATACGTTGTTACATAGAAGGCGGACGGAACGTTTCAGACATATACAAGGAGATGTGGAATGATTGGACGGATTACTACGCCACACACTGTCAGGTCTGAACTCGTCTCCTATTGTTAGTCATCCAACCAGATCAGCCGGTAAAATATGAAGATTTGTTTCTAATGGAATCATTTCCCAGACGGGACTGCGAGGATCAAACCGGCCTGGAAAGTGAAGCGACTCTGTTGCCTGTAGCAACCAGAACCGCCGCAATGTCTCCGGTGCAGATTAGAAGCCGAGGGTATGAAACGTCATTCGGGAATCTGTGAAATCCGCGAACACGACGTTTGTTAGACGCACGCGCTTCGTTTTGTTACGAATCAGAAGTCGTCATTCAGAGATTGGGATGTATCCGAATCCCCATAATAGTGAATTTCAACGAATCTGAAATGAATGATAAGGAAACAACGTATTACATTCGTGTTCCTTCCTTTCATTCGGATGACAGGATGCCATACTTGGGGCCTTTTGTTATTATTGAAGCATCCGAAATAAAGTAACAACATAACGAATGATCCAAAATTCATTCCATTCATTCTTTAGGTTCCATTTCGTGTTTATTTCGCATTACCATTTTTTTATCATGAAATGGAGACATAATACGATAAATCCAGGAAGGTAGAAAAGTGAATTGACAGGATTCCTACTTATTGTGTTTGGGTTGGATGGAGGAGGATCCATCCGAATCTCCGAATCATTATATAATAAATGAATCCAAAATTATTTTCATTCCATTTGTTTTCTGGATATCATTCAATCAGCTTATTCCATTTCTCTGGGTTGGATGAGCCAAATAAAAATATTCAAAACAAATTCCAAATGAAGATGATGACATGAAATGATTAACGTAACGAATTAATCCGAAACAAAACAAATGTTTTCATTGTGCACATGCCCAGAGCTTGTTTTGTGTGTATCCTGATCGCCGACACTTGGGACCTGGAAATGAAAGGCACCTAAAGTGTCAAAATGAATTCACGGAATTTGAGGAATTTGGTGAGGAATCTTTTTTTTTCTATAAATATCCCGGACAGTGAAGACGATTGTCTGATGTCTGAAGAAACTTTATTCTCCCCAATAGAGGAAGAATAACTATATAAGAGAGACGGAGGGGGGGGGGAGAAAGAGGGAGGGGGGAGGAGAGAGGGGGGAAGAGAGGGGGGGGGAGAGAGGGGGGGGGGAGGGGGGGAAAGAGAGGGGGGGAGAGGGGGGGGGAGAAAGATGGATGGGGAGGGGGGGAGAGAAAGAGGGAGGGGGGAGAGAGAGAGGGGGGGGAGAGAAAGAGGGAGGGGGGAGAGAGAGAGGGGGGAAGAGAGGGGGTGGAGGGGGGAGAGAGAGGGGGAGAGGGAGAGAGAGAGGGGAGGGGGGAGAGAGGGAGGGGGGGGAAAGAGGGGGATAGAGAGAGGGATAGAGAGAGGGAGAGCGAGAGGGAGAAAGAGGGGGGGGAAGAGGTGGGAGAGAGAGGGGGGGTGGGAGTGAGAGAGAGAGAGGGGGGAAGAGGTGGGAGAGAGAGAGGGGGGAGAGATGGAGAGGGTGGGGGAGAGAGAGGAGATGGAGAGGGGGGAGAGAGGGTGGGAGAGAGAGAGAAACAGAGGGGGGGGGGGGGAGAGAAACAGAGGGGGGAAAAGAGAGAGGGGAGAGGGAGAGAGAGAGAGGGAGAGGGAGGGGAGAGAGAGAGGGGGGGGGATGATAGAAATTATAATGGAGAGGGTAAGAAAGAGTGGGAAATGAATGGAGAGGAGAGAGAAGAGAAGCAAAATAAGAAAGAGGAAGAGAGGAAAGGAGAGGCAAAAAGGAGGGGAGAGGAGAAGAGAGGAAAAGAGAAGGAGGGGAGAGAGGAGAGCAGAGAAAATGAAGAGAGGAGGAAAAGAGGAGAGCAGAGGAAAGGAAGAGAGTAGAGGAGGGGAGAGGAAGAGAGTAGAGGAGGGGAGAGGAAGAAAGGAGAGGAGGGGAGAGGAAGAAAAGGAGAGGAGGGGAGAGGAAGAAAGGAGAGGAGGGGAGAGGAAAGAGAGGAGAGGAGGGGAGAGGAAGAGAGGAGAGGAGGGGAGAGGAAGAGAGGAGAGGAGGGGAGAGGAAGAGAGGAGAGGAGGGGAGAGGAAGAAAGGAGAGGAGGGGAGAGGAAGAAAGGAGAGGAGGGGAGAGGAAGAAAGGAGAGGAGGGGAGAGGAAAAATGGAGAAGAAAGGAGAGAGGAGGAAGAAAAGTGGGGAGAGGGGAGGAAGAAAGGAGGAGAATAAAAGGAGGGGAGGGAGAAGAAAAGGAGAGGAGAGCAGAGGAAAAGAAGAGGAAGGGAGAAGAAGAGAGAAGAGGAAAGGAGAAAAAGAAAGGGAGAGAGGAGAGGAAGAGAGACGGAAGGGAGGGGCAAGAAGAGAAGGAGGGGAGAGAGGAGAGGAGAGGAAAAGAAGAGAGAGGAAGAAGAGGAAGAAAGGAGAACAGAAGGAGAAGAGAAGGAAGAAAGAGAGGAGAGCAGAAGGAGAAGAGAAGGAGGGGAGAGGAGAGAGAGGAAGAGAAGAAAGAAGAGAAGGAGGGGAGGAGAGGAGAGATGAGAAGCTAGAAGAGAGGTTAGAGAAAGGCAGAGCGAGAAGGTAAAGGAAAGGAGATGGAAGAGAATATCTGGGTGTTCATCCCCCCATCACTGTCATACATCCTGGTGTCTATCTTCCCATCAGCAGGCGCACAGTGTGTGGAGACAGGTCCTCTTAGCACATACATATTCATGAAGCTGCGGAGGTGCCGCTGTTTACACAGCAGATATTTGTGTTTTATAAACAGACACCATTAGCAGCCTGAAATGACTATTTGGGTTCGTTGGGAGAACATCACATCCTCCTGCCGGGGCCACACGTCAGGATTCATCAATGAACCCGAGTCCTGGCCTGGGGAGAGATCAAACCCCTGAATCTGATTGGTAGTTGAGGGGCTACAAAGCGCGCTCCATGTTCTGCCGCCATTTCCTATACTGCTGCTCAGTCAGCGACTCACCAATACCATCTATGAAAGAAGAATGTATCACCAGAGAAATGCATTGCCCATCACTGAGGACCTCCTCCTGAAAATGCTCCTGCATGGCTGTCTCTGGCTTCCAGGTCCCTGGCTTGGAATAAGCATGCGACAAGTGAAGTTCTGGATCGGGATTCGGAACGTATTGAACTCATGATTCCGGAGGACAGCCAGGTGATGGAATGGTTCATCTCTCAGGACAGGTGCCCTTTATGGGAGCTTTACACAATTCCTATCCGGCAGATTCAGGGCGTTTGTGAGATTCGGGTGGAAATGCAACCAATCGGCACATGACAAGATTCCATGGAGCACTGCAGAGGGCGGAGCCTGGAACCTGGGAACACCGGCTGTGCGTTTTGCTGGTACCAGAGCCGTTCAGAGAGAAAAAGCAAAATGTGAGACAAACGCAGCAAAAGGCATGATAAAAAATTGTGCAAACGGGAACGGGGCCAATATCTCCAAATCAATGGGCTGCCCTACATGCTGCATGAAGACATACAAAAATGCGCAATTTTCAATCCCGGGGGGCGGATGGGGCAAAACTCGCACTTTTTGGATTCGAAGTTTCCTTTTTAAGCGGTAAAATTCTGATTCAAATTCTAAAAGTAACATGAGACTCATCGTCATATTTCATGATTGTTGCAGACGTTCGGCCAGCGGATACAGCCATACACAAGCCGGCAACGGTCCGATGGGGGGGCCACGCCGGCAACGGTCCGATGGGGGGGAGGCCACGCCCGCAACGGTCCGATGGGGGGGAGGCCACGCCCGCAACGGTCCGATGGGGGGGAGGCCACGCCCGCAACGGTCCAACGGGGGGCCGCTCCGGCAACGGTCCGACGGGGGGGGCCGCTCCGGCTACGGTCACACGGGGGGGCGCGCGCCGGCTACGGTCACAC